GCCTAAAATATGAAATAATATTTTCAACTACTAGAACACAACAGATGTTACTGGGGACCACACTAGTCCTTTTCCTTGCATGTTGAGGTAAATTATTTTATCTGAATGGCATAATGTTGATGATGGAATGCAGAGATCTCCTTGCAGACACAATGAACAGTTGGATATCCCTGGTTATTGGAGTCTCACACTTTAGGATACTGAGACAGAATCCTTTCTTCACTTGCTGATCTTGTAAACTTCCACCTCTATACAATGACGTGCGTTGCTCAAGGAGTGCTATGCATCCAAATGCAGAGACCAGAGGCTCGCCAAAGTCTAATCTAAAGTAAAATTTACAATATTTTTCAAGTATATATTCAATAGTTGCTAGCCTAGAGATTTAAGTACTAACTTGTTAAAGAACATTTAGAAGTCATGCCTGTGCGTTGGATATACCCATAATCACCATCCAGTTGAGACTCTAATACCTTGCAAGTCAAGCTCCAGGAAACATTACAGAAAGGGTAGTGACCTTGAGTGGTGTGTATTCATTAAAGCTAGAAAAGGAACAGTCCTGTATTCTTTGCCAAGGCCATCTTTGAAGAGGTCATTATATGTTCCTTTCTTTGACTTTCCTGAATTGAACCTGCAACCATTCATCTTTTTAATCAAGCCGCTACAGTAGAGTGGAGCTCTGCGGTGATTTAGGATGGCCAGTCCTGCAGGTCATTATTATAAGCTTTGTGTATGTAAGAAGAGAACTTTGCACTGTTTCAGTCTTTCAGATAAACAAGTCATGAAAAAAGAAAACAGTTGCCTGGGATTTCAATTAAACTGTAAATACTTTGGCTTGTAAAATTAAGTGATGGATTGAGTTGGAATGCAACCAAATTTCTCTGGAGATTAGCAACAAAAGCTGGTCGCCAGAGTAATCACAGAACTGACAGCCAAGCACTCCCTTCTGCCAGAGAAGTGGAGAGTGAGGTAAATGGTTCACATGATTTCATCCCCTATTCTATGTGGGAGACAGAAACTTCAGGAATCTCTCCCGCCAGGCAGTGTGGCCTTGAGAATCTTTGAGCTGTAATTATAGCAGTTTGTTAGCCATCTGAGGCTGTAAGTACATGAGAAATCTAACACTGTCTTATAAAGTTTTACTAGACTAAATGGTATGGTACAGAAAATTTAAAAAGAATTCTGGAGCAAGAGATATAGCAGAGAGACCACAAAGCTGTTGATTTTTATGAGCCAGCTACCCTCACACATGTGCGGTGGATGTAAACTTCCAGATATTCTGGGAAACCATAGAGTCATCCTCTTGATCTTGATTTGGCTGCAGGGTTTGGGCTTTGGTCAGTTTCCTGCCTCTTGGACTGGTATCTGAAGGAACTGACTGATGAAGTATTAAAACACAGCTATAATACATATTCACAGAATTTAGTGATATTGAAAAGCAACTTAGGTACCAGTGTTATGTGTTGTATATGTGTATTTTTTAACTGTTGACATTCTATTTTAAAGTATATATGTGTATATTCAGTGTATACTAAGAATAATCTTTCTTCACTTCAGTTAAGGTACTAAGCTAGGTCATAAAATGTCAAAGTAAAATATTTTATCACCTATACAATTTGGTCCGTTGCCTGAAATGTAGAATGTTTGAATGAAAAGGTTTGATAAATAGGTGAGGGTCTTATTTTGATTCTGAGATCTAGCATAGAACTCACTGATACAGTGTTGGTCATCTTTCTTTGCAATCAATCAACCAGTCAAATAGCACATATTCAGTTTTCTTTTATTATTTGTTATACATTTCAATGAAATCTGATTCTAGGAATTCTTTAACAGCATATAAATAAGTACCCTCACCTGTCTGGGAACAGGTATAATGATTGGATTTGCATCTTTTTTATTTGGAAAATTTAGACTTAAATATAGTGATTTTAAAAAATCATTCAACTCATGTATTATTCATTATTTAAGAACTATAATAGATACCTTCAGTATTCCATGGGGATAGTAAATTAAGTAAGGAATTATTCTTTCTCAGAGCAAATTGTATTGTAGTTAGAGATAGGACCATATAAACAAATAATTACCCTGTATATGTGGTTAATTAGAGTGGTATGCTCAAGGAGCCTTGGGTGCAAGGAAAGGGAAAGAAAGGAAAACAACTTAATTCTGGAAGATCAAAGGGAAGATAAGGAATAGAGGTTGTCAGCTTGCCATGCTGGAGAAAAAGGGTTGGGTGAAACAATTCTGAGATTTCTGGCATATATATAGCAACTCTCCAGGGGGACCAGTTGGGGAAAGAGTCATACTTCCATGTGACAGAATTTGAAGCATGTAAGATACAGTAATCTGTGTTTATCACCATACTAGTTTGACAGAAATGAATCACTTTGATAATATTGTAATTTTTCTTAGTATTGATTTAGAAATTTGGTTATTTGAAGTCTACATTTATTACAATAACCTTTGTCTAGTCCATAGTTTTCCACATATAGTGACTGGAGCAGTAAACTTTTTTTTTCATAAAAATAAAACTTCAAATTTTATACCAATTTGAGGGGTACCAAGTTTCCTACCATTCACCAGAGAAATAGATTATTGTGGAAATCAGCACCAGGAATTATTGAATTTTTTGTGCATATATCCACAAAGTTTAAAGCTTTCTCGTAGGACTGGGAATTTTAGCATGCCAGTCATCATTGTTGGGCTTCCCAGGTTGTTCAGTTGTAAAGAATCTGCCTGCCAATGCAGGAGATGCCGAAGATGTGGGTTCGATCCCTGGGTCAGGAAAATCCCCTGGTGAAGGAAATAGACCCACTCCAGTATTCTTGCCTGGAAAATCCCATGGACAGAGGAGCCAGGCAGGCTACAGTCCATAGGGTCACAAAGAGTTGGACATGACTGAGCAAGTGAACATGCACAGATATCATTGTTGGGTGGAGACTGCTATGGTAAATGCTTATTTTCTGGTCTTGGCTTCAGTTGCAGGTTTTTAAATTTTTTTTTAATTTTATTTTTTGAGGAATTGAGTGTTTTGTTGTTTTCTGGTTTATTTTTTTGTTGTTTTGTTTTGTTTTGTTTTGGGCTCCTGACCTTTTAAACTGGTATCTTAAAATAAATGACTGGCAAGTATGTGGTCTGTACTCATGACTTGGTCAGGGGCAAGGGCTTCTCTCATGTTGCCTCATCGCCACCTCAGTTGCTGTTGGTACTGTTGACTTCTCAGAGTTAATCTACATTTTCTATCCTACCCTTGGATTTACCTCTCATCAGGGAGCCCCCACAGCAAGCCTAATGGCAAAGCTACTTTCTATTTCATAAGACGTGTGGGTTTCTGGGCGTTATACCTTCCCACAACACACAGGAGTCAGGGACAAAAGGGTAATACTATCTCTGGTTCTCTTTTGTACTGGCTATGCCTCACTGATTTTTTTTTTCCTTTGCTGTCTAAGGTTGACACATACCTTCTTTCTGTAGAGTCCCTTTCCTCTCCACACACAGGGCACACACAATTGTGAGCTCTAATGTCCCTGATTTTAGCCTTCCTTTCAATTTGTGGAACATCTCTATTATTTTATCCCAAGCCAGGAAATCATGCTATAAAACTATGCATCCTGGCAAGTCCAAAATTCTCATCTCTCTTCACTCAGATTCACTCAGAAATGTGGGAGAAGGGGTAAGTTATCTTCTCCTTCCTATCCCTGATTCTTTTCCTCCATTTTGAAGAGGTAACCAACCTGCTCCTACCCTCAAATTCTTCAACAGAATAGCACAATAATTTTGGAGATCTAAAATTAGGTGGCACTAGTGGTAAAGAACCCAACTGCCAATGCAGGAGACGTAAAAGGTGCAGGTTCCATTCTTGGGTCAGGAAGATCCCATGGAGGAGGGCATGGCAACCCACTTCAATACTCTCATGTGGAGAATTCCACAGACAGAGGAGCCTGGCAGGTTATAGTCCACAGAGTCACACGGAGTTGAGACATGACTGATGCAACTTAGCATGCGTGGGTTTCCCTGGTGGCTCAGATGGTAAAGGTCTGCCTGCAGTGTGGGAGACCCAGGTTCGATCCCAGTTTAGTTCAGGCTTGAAATTAGTACTTAAAGCATCGATCCACCTCTGAATTATCCTGAAGATCAGAAACACGTAAACCTTCTGGATACTCTTCTCACCTATGACCTGAGATTGCTGCAACAGAAATACTATAGGCACCTTCAGGATATAATAATATAAGATTCTGAGATCCTAAAATGCTTTTACTGGGGGAAGAAAGAGCTTATCTATATTTAACCATCAAAACTAATTTGCCCTTTTAAAATTTCTCCAGTATTACCTTCATATCTCTATATACACATCTTTTGTAAAATATGCTTTTTTTTGGTAATACTTACTATTAAACTAGGTATAAATGCCCCTGGTCATAAAATATAGTTATGCTACAACTGACTTGGAAGCCTAAGAAATAGGACTGCTGTTGGCTTTTAAAATTTATCAACCTCTTATTTCATGAAAGTGGAAATTTTTCAGCTTTGTGAAATTATCAATGTAGTTATATAACAGCAAACTTTATGTATGTGTTCAAGCAAATCGGCTCAGTCTTTCCATACATGTTTACTGAGTGAACAACTCAATGAATAAATCATTGCATAAATTATAAACATCAATCTTATTCTTGTAATTCATTGTTACCAGGTGCTACTGAAAATTTACAAAACAAAAATATGGCTCATGCCTTGTACTTCTTTTTTCAAAAACTGGTTACTTCAAAGAAGTGTATAGAAGTATTTTGGACTTTTATTACATAATGTGCACATGTTCTATAGGAGTTTTATTATTTGCACTATGCAGAGGAAATTAGTATCCTCTCACATTAACGGTGACATCTTTCATTGGCTTCTCATTTTAGTGCTTCTGCTTGAAAACATTTTTGTTCCTAAAACTGAGGAAGATGTGTTTTTTGTTTTCTTTTCCTGCACTGTTTCATAGTAGCATTTGCAATAGGCTGATGGGTTTCACATTTTCTGACAATTTATATCAAGATAGGCTGGCAAGCAAGGTAAGTTTTGAATAGCTCTTGCTATAGTATCACTCAGGGAGGCAAAATATTCTGGCTGAACTGTTGTATAACAGATGTTTGAGTTCTGATTTGTCAGGGTTATAAATAAGATTTAAGCTAGCCTTAAACTGGAGAGAAACTCCACACACTTGGAGTAGACAAAGCCCTTATGTAGACATCCAGAGACATAGGAACTGATTCCAATGCAAACACTCTCCCATAATTTAATTTATTAATGCATAATGTTAGCAGTGGTTCAAAATTTGCCTGATGTTCTTTGCTGGTTTCATCAGGCAGCTAATAACTTACATGTCTAAGTGGTGTCTGTTGAAATAAACTTGGATTAGATGTAGAACTTGGACTTAGCTACCACTTCATGATATTTTAGTTTTAATTAAGTGTCACACTCAAAATAAGTGATGAGTGAGCTCTTCCTGGTCTTATTATGGACTGCTGGCCCTGATGCCATGTGAGCACAAATTGCTTCACTCATCACTCAGAGAACATCCTCTAGCCTGATTGACATAAAGGGATATTTTCTATGTTCATTTACTTTAAATGAACTAATCAAAAGGACTGATTTTAAAATATGGGACAAGTGGTCTTATTGCTTCCTGTGTTATAACCGTTAAAGCATCATCTACAGTTGTTCTCTTTTTATTAATATATTATTTTGCTGAGCATTTCTATACAAGAAAATTATTTAAATTAGGTTTGGAGTTTTAAACTTTATACCTCCTTCCTAACTTATTGCATGCTATTTAATTCCAAACAATGTACTTTAAGAAAAAAATGATTTTTTTTTTGTTTTCAAAACAAAATTATATTCAAATCAGCATGAACTTCACTTCACTTTTCCTCTCTGTTATTATGTACTCACTTTAATTTTTTAGTAAGCCCAGGTTCTTAAGTTCTTGACATGTGGGAGAGTCTCAATATGTAGGTAATTGATTTTCATCCAATGCTGTGGTTCAGTGACAGGTGATAGTATATTGATCATAAATATTTTGCCCCACCATTTTGGTCTTCCCAAGCTCATCATTTTTTGACACATTTGTACAGGACTTCTCATATTCAATTTTAGTTGCTTCTTTCTTTTTACCACATTTGCCCTTTATTTTCAATCACATAGCCTCTTTTGAACATCTGTTAGTTTTTAAGTAGCAGTCATTTGGATGATATTTTATACATTTTTATGTTTATATGTGAAAAGTGTGTTTGAATTTAAAGTAAACACATGATTATTGAATAATGCATGGTAGCAGAACTTTTTCACTTAATATATCTCTAATCTAATACATGCAAATTTAAAAAATAAATTTAGCAAGATATAATTCTCAAAAATGAAATAGACTACTGAGAGTAAAACAGATTTAAAGCTGCTCTTTATTGGATTCAAGCAACAGAAACATTCAAGGAGTAATATGAATAAGAAATTTTTCATTGTTTTTTGTTTGTTTGCCATAGTATCACTTCATTTATGTATGTGTATTTTAAGCATGGACTACCTTCCAGATCCCGTGCTGGGTGGATGACAAAGATGGATAAGACATTGTTCTCTTTTTCTGAGACTATATATGTCATGCACTCTCCCACGTCAGCGCTCAACAAGACTCTTTCTGCCTCATGTTACTTGCCCCTCTAGAAGATTGATTTTGGTTCAGATGTAAAGGAGGGCATTTTATTCTCTCATCAGAGAATGGAGTGGTGTGGGCTTCTGCTCTAGGGAAGCTGTCCCCAATCTTTTTGGCACCAGGGACTGATTTTGTGGAAGAAAATTTTTCCACGGACAGGGTCAAGGGGTATGTATTCAGGGTGACTCAAGTGCATTACATTTACTGTGCACTTTATTTCTGTTGTTATTACATCAGCTCCACTTCAGAGTATCAGACCTTAGATACCTGCTTTAGAGCATCTGGGGCTTCCCACGTGGCACCAGTGGTAAAGAACCTTCCTGCCAATGCAGAAGACCTAAGAGACACAGGTGGGATCACCTGGAGGAGGGCATAGCAACCCACTCCCGAATTCTTGCCTGGACAATCCCATGGACAGAGGAGCCTGGTGGGCTATGGTGCATAGGGTTGCATAGAATCAGACACTACTGAAGTGACTTAGCAAGCACTTAGCACCCCAGAGCACTGGCTCTCCTGACAGGCTGTGGGTGTGGCTGCTTTGTAGGGATCTCGCCAGTGAGGGGAGGGGACAGAAATCTCCGGAGGCCAAATCAGCTGTGGACAGCTGATCACAGACCCCAGATCACAATGCAAGGCACAGAGTCCTTATACAAAACCCGCTGCCGCCATCTTGGATTGAATGTCCTGCGCAGTTTCTAAATCTGGTTCCTGAGCTGAGATATCAGTCCTTAGAGCAGAAGGAACTCTGGTCTGAAAGGCGAGGGGCGAGACCTACGCATGCAACACACTGTAAGCAAGAGAAACTATGACTAAGCGCAAAGGGAAAAAGAGAGAGAGAGAGAGAAAGGTTAGACTTGATTTTATTACCCAGATTCTGTTTTTATTCTCTGGCAGTTGTTAATGGGCTTTGCCAGGGACAAATCCCCTTTCTGTCTTTTGTCCTGTTCCTCATTCTTAAGGGATGAAAGTTCCTCTTCTGTAACTGTCCCCTGTTGATTTCAGGGGTTGTCATAACACCAGATATAGGAATGGTGTTTCTCCCTAGGTGCCATTTGATGGTTTCATTGTCAGCAGACCTCAGCCCTAGATGTTTGTCCTCCTGAGCAACCACCATTGGTCTAACTTTTTAGAGACAATGTTCATCAGACAATTTAGGGTGCATGGCCCAAATGTTAGCTAGAGTAATGGTCAGATGTCAATTTTTTTCCTAAATATGAATATATTTGTGACCTTTGCCTGTAGAGAAGAGTGCCTTGACATGGAGGTTCACTGCTGGGGCTCGGTCTTCCTGGTCACATTTTGGTGATTTTTTTGGTCAAAGGATTTAGCTAAATATGGGAGGGCCAGGGAAGGGACCTGAAGTAATGGCTTTCAAATTCATTCATTTTTTTTTTTTTTAATTGGAGTATAATTGCTTTACAATGTTATGTCAGTTTCTGCCAAATAACAATGTGAATCAGCTATATGTGTACATGTACCCCTTCCCTCTTGAGCCTCCCTCCCACCCCACACCCGTCCCACCCCTTAGATTCTCACAGAGCACTGACTTGAGCTTCCTGTAGTATACAGCAACTTCTGACCAGTTATCTATTTTACATATAGCAGTGTATATATGTCAATGCTGCTCCCTTTCCTTTCGGCCATGTCCACAGGTCCATTCTCTCCATCTGTGTCTCCGTTCCTGTCTTGCAAATAGGTTCACCACTACCATTTTTCTACATTTCAAATACAGGTATTAATATGCATGATATTTGTGTTGTCTTTCTGACCTACTTTACTCTGTATGACAGATCCTGGGTTCATCCACATCACTACAAATGACCCAATTTCCTTCCTTTTTATGGCTGAGTAATGATATATATGTACCACATCTTCTTTATCTGTTCATCTGTCAATGGATATCTATGTTGATTCTATGTCCTAGCTATTATAAATAGTGCTGCAGTGAACATTGGGGTACATGTTTCTTTTTTAATTTTGGTTTTCTCAGGATATTTGCCCAGTAGTGGGGTTGCTGGGTCATATGATAGTTTAATTCTTAGTTTTGTTAAGGAATCTCCATAGTGTTCTCCATAGTGGATGTATCAATTTAAATTATTACCAACAGTGGAAGGGGGTTCCCTTTCTCCACACCCTATCTAGCATTTATTGTTTGTAGATCTTTTTGATGATGGTCATCCTGCCAAATGTGAAATGATACCTCATTTTAGTTTTGATCTGCAGAATAACTGAAGTAATGGCCTTTCTTTTTTTCTTTTAAAATTCTTGAAAGGTCCTTTCACATTTGGAATTTCCTTTAAAAAGGATCACCATCCTTTCCTTTCAACTTTTCCTATAGAGACCTAACTATTAGATCGTAGTTAGGGTTCCAGATATGTCAAAACTCAGGCATTCCCTGGATATCCTTAAGCTGCCTGCTAGCTTTAGGAGGGGTGAGCCTGAAAAGATCTTCCTTCCTTTCTTGGGGTAGGTGTCTCTGACCTTCTGTGAGAATGAAACCTTCGTGGATCATCCTAGTTCGTGGTGTTTGGGTCTTTTTCTTGACCACCCTATATCCTTCATTAGCTAGGTGGTTCAGAGGAGTTACAGCATTTTTGTCAGAGATCTTCCTAGTGAGATTGGCGATCATAATTTCATCTACAGACTGAGTGAGGGAACTCAGTTTTAGGTCATCTTAACTAAAAATTTCCTCAAAGACAGTGAGTGAGTTTTTGAACCCTTGTGGCTGTATTTAACAGTATTGTTAAATAATATAGAAGAAGGCATATTTTAAATTTAATACAGAACACCAGGTCCTGGTGAACAGTAGAGTGGTCAGAAGGTATAATGATTGGGAACTACTGAATGTATATTTTGGTAGCTTAATTGACTGTCCTGTGGTCCTGTATCATCCAGTATACCCCATTGGGCTTCTCTATAGGGCAAATGAGGGTTTATTTGGATGATTGGCATGGCCTAGTAAGACCCTGGTCAATTAGGCCCTGTATAATAGGGGCAGTGATCAGTAAGGCCTCTCAGTGGACAGTGTACTGTTTTCTCTTGGATCATATGTCCAGGTTTTAGTCCATGGACTATCACAAGAGCGTCCATAGCTCTTCCTACCCATCCCTAGACCCAGACTTGGGATTTACTCCTGTGAGATCAACTTGCTTTGTCCTGGGAGGTTTGTCCTCAGCCATTAACATTATCACCTTGTGTCCCATGTCTAGGGGAACACCAATCTTTAGTTTATCTCCCAATAGGTGAATATTAGCTTCCAATTTATATAATATATTCCTTCTAGCAGGGGTATAGGGCATTAGGGAACATATGGGAAGGAATGGGTGAGAATGTATTCATCTAATTTGCTTCCTAATGGCTCACAGCTCTTGTGACAGAGTTTGTCTGATCTGTTGTTTGTAACCAAGTAAGTGGCACCGGGGTTGACTAAGTTGGATGTCCAATGTCATTCTGGGCTCTTTGGGGGTCAGTTGGAGTGCTAGCTCAGGAGCCTCCTGGTCCAATTATTCTCTGTCTATTTGGACCATCTGACTTTGAGGACCATCTTACTTTGGGGCTTCTCCGATGGTTTAGCAGGTAAAGAGTCCACCTGCTATGCAGGAGTTCAGAAGACTCTGGTTTGATCACTCATAGGGAAGATTCCCTGGAGTAGGAAATGGCAATCCACTCCAGTATTCTCGCCTGGAAAATTCAGTGGACAGAGGATCCTGGCAGGTGACAATCCCTGGGGGCCACAACGAGCCAGAGATGACTGAGCACGTGGCACATATGACTTTAAGGATACTGGCTAGAATCTGCTGTTGCCATCCCCCTTTGGGGGTGATGAGGGAATTCTTCCTTCCAGTGTTCCTCTTGTTTACACGTGACACTCTGATTGGCTCCTCGTTTCCTTGACTGGCTATTCCTTGATGGGAATTGAGGGTCACTCACTGTAGATGAGAGTCTCTGTGAGTGGTTAGTTCAGATTCCAGTGCCAACCATCAACTGCCAGTAGGCAGGCTTGCCTCTAATTTTTATCCTCTGACTTTTCTTCCTCTATATCTCAGCTGTTACACACTTGGTAGGTGACCTCCACCAGACAAAAGAGAGGAGTGTCTGATTGTATTTCCAGTTTCTGAAGTTTGCCTTTAATATTTTGGAAATAAAATAGGACTTCAGGGTTGCATTCCCTTCCCGTGACTAAGGGTCGGGAGTATAGATTCAGAGGCATTTCTCGAGCTCTCTAGGAATGCGGAAGGGTTTTCCATTGGCTGCTGATTGATTTCCTTTTTCTTTTTCCGATTAACAGGTTTTGTTTTGTTTTGTTTTTTCCCTCCTGCCTAGATTCCCTTTAGACAGTGTTTTTGTAATGGATCAGCCTTTGTCTTCTACCCCTTTATCCATTGTCTTGGTGGTCCCAGTTGGGTTTGTTATCTGGGACTACTTGCTTCTCTGGTCTGTAAATGGGATGGCCTTCATTGATTCTATTCTCTCTGTTTCCCCTTGGGCTTTTCAAAATGTTATGACCTTTTCTTCCCCTGTTAGGAGTGCAGTTAGGAGGCTCTGAATCTCAGCCCAGGTGGGGTCATGGGTATGAAAGTTTCCTCAAATCAGATGCAGATACGCTTTTCTTCCCTCAACCACTCAATGTGACTTTTCTGGGTATACAGATCAGAAGTGGTAAATGGGATAGGTATGTGGATAAGCCCTTCTCTCTCAGAGACCTATCTTAAAGGGAGTATTTTCCATGGGTTGTTGGACACTGGCTGGTAATTATTCCCACTTCATGTACTTTCTGGACTACATTCTGGGAGAGGGGGGCTGGTATGAAAGGAACTCCTTTCATACCAGAAAGTCATCAGGGGACAGGTCAAGGACTGGTAGAGGCTTAGTCTCCTTTGCTATTATCTCAGTGGAGGAGAGACCATGTCCATTTTAAAGGCCTGTGTTCTAATATAAGACCATAAAAAACTAGACAAGGAATGCCATTCCATTTCTTTTGTCTTTGGCATTGCAATTCTGGTTGTAAAATGATTTAATTTAGAAATCTAACTATTGAGGGAAGAGTTAGAGTGATTTGTTGGCACGCAAATGCTATAGATTTGACCCAAGTAAGACTGCTGGTTTGGGAAATTTGGAACCAGCACTGAACTATTAATGGATTCTTCAGTGACCACAATAGGAGTCATCCAAGTGCCAAAGCCTTAGCCATCCTCCCTCTGAGGCCTGAGCATGTCTGGAGTCTAAAGGGTGGGTGCAGGGAGAAGAGCCACAGTCAGTCCCACCTGGGTCACCAAAAGTATATTTCTAATCTTCTCCCCCAAACCTCCAATGAGTTGTCCCCAGCAAGAGTTCCTTCTTCCTGATGTTGCTTGTGCCAATAGAAGAGACCAAGTTTTGTTCAAAAGCAAAGGAAAGCTTTATTCTTTGATCAGAGAATACAGATGTATAAGCTCCTTCTCTAGAGCAGCGTTTCCTAATATTTTGGCTCCAGGGACCGGTTTCATGGAAGATAATTTTTTCACCAATGGTAGGTGTGTGGTTCAGGCAGTAGTGTGAACCATGGGGGAATGATGGAGAGTGGCAGATGAAGCTTTACTTGTTTCCACACCACTCACTTCCTGCTGTGTGGTTTGGTTCCTAAAAGGCTGTGGACCAGTGGGTTGGGTACTCCTGCTCTAGAGTATCCACTCTTCCCAAAAGTTCATTGGCAGGGATGCTTTATAGGATTCTTGTCATCAGGAGAGAAGAGTGGTATTCTTGTCTATTGGGCACACCTATGTTGCTCAGGGCACTCCAGATCAAAGTGT